GCAGTTGGGGGGGACCAGCCTGCAAGAGAAGGCAGTTGGGAGCAACCAGGCCTGCTGGGTAGGGCTATTGGGGGGCGGGGGGGTTGGGCCAGCAGGGGAGGGAAGCTGGGGGTAATCGAGTTGGTAGGGGAGCAGTTAGGTGTCAATAATGCTGGCAGGGGAGTGGTTATAGGAAATCAGGCAGGCAGGCAGGCAAGCAGTTAGGAGCCAGTGATCCTGGATGGTGAAAGGGATGTCCCAGACTGGAGAGGGTGCAGGCTGGGCTGAGGGACAAATTTCATGCACTGGGCCTCTAGTATTAAAATAAATACCACTGGTACTGCTGCCAGATGTATTTAATTTTTTTTATTAAAAAAAATCTAACCCTGGTGGGTATGGCCCAGTTGGTTGGGCCTCCCTGCACCAAGTGTCCCCGGTTCTATTCCCAGGACTGGGGTTGCAGGCTCCGTGGAGTAGGAGGCAGTGGACCATGTTTCTCTCTCATTGAGGTTTCTCTCTCCCCCCTTCTCTCTTCCTCTATAAAATGAATAAAAATAGTAAAAACCACCTAACCGCTAGGAAGTAAGAGGCCCTGACCCTCCGCAGCAGCACGGCACTCTGATGCGACCTTCCCGGAGCCCCTGAGCACAGCAGACGCACCAGGCTGGTCCCGGTCCCGGGAAAGCGGGCGGCGAGCACGGCGTGGCTGCGGCTGATGGACTGGTCATTCTCCAGGAGGACCCCGCAGTTCTTCCTCCCCACCGTGTACTCCACGCCCGTCAGAAGTCGGTGTGGTTCTAGGAGAACGAGGAGACTGAGAAACACACATGTACACGCGCGCACACATGTAAGGGATACGGCCTTATTTTTATTCAAATGCGCTCATAAAGAAAACCTATTTTTCAGTAAAGTCTCGCTGCAGGACCCAGAGGCTGACTAGCCGGAAAACCACACTGAGAAGCCAGAATGACCACCTTCCCCAGAGGCCCTGGAGCAGCTGTTACCGCCACCCTCGCTATCGGTGGTCAATGTGCCTGTGGAGAATCCATGGACGGACCCCAGGTCCCTGACCTGCTGCAGCGGACGAAAAGCAGGTGACACAGGAGGGAGCAGGAGCCCAGCCTCCCCCCACCCCCCGCAGGAGCCGGACACCCTACCCCCCACAGGAGCCCAGCCTCCTGCCCCCCTCCCAGGAGCCCGGCCCCAACCCCCCCCAGGAGCCCGACACCCTACCCCCTTCCGCAAATGCCCCCTGCAGATGCTCCCCCCCAAATGCTCCCCCCCACAGGTGCTTCCCCCTGCAGGTGCACCCCCCCCGCAGGTGCTTCCCAGTTGCCCTCCCCGTAGGTGCTCCCCCACAGGTGCTCCCCCCACAGGTGCTCCCCCACGTGCCCCCCCCGCAGGTGCTCCCCCAGGTGCCTTCCCCCCAGGTGCCCCCCCGCTGGTGCTCCCTCAGGTGCATCCCCCCCCCCCGTGCACCCCCGCAGGTGCTCCCTCAGGTGCATCCCCCGGGTCCACCCCCCGCAGGTGCTTCCCCAGGTGCATCCCCCCCCGGTGCACCCCCGCAGGTGCTCCCCCAGGTGCCTCGCCCCGCAGGTGCTCCCGCAGGTGCCCGGCCCCCAACCCCGCAAGTACCCGTCCTCCAGGTGCCCGTCCCCCAGGTGCCAGTCCCCACCACCCGGCGCGCACAGCACAACCGCGTCGGTGTTCAGAGCAGGCGGGGTCCGCCGCCGCAGCTTCTCACAGGAGCGCCCACGCGACACTCACCGGGCGGCCGCCACCCCGCAGGGTCCGCCGTCACCGGCACCCGAGCGGCCGGGCAACTCGGGCACCTGCCTGCGAGCTGCGGGTTCGGTACCGGGCCCAGCCGGACCTCGCCCGCCCCAAGGCGCCTCGCCCCCGAGACGCCCCGCCCCCAAGGCGCCCCGCCCCCAAGGCGCCCCGCCCCAAGGCGCCCCGCCCCTAAGACGCCCCGCCCCGCGTCGGACGCACAGCCTCCCGCCGTCGCTGGAAGGTGACGAGGGGTCAAGCAGGAAGTGCCCCTTGGACCCCTCTCCCCAGCCCGGCCCTGGGAAGTCGGCCCTCGATCACCTCCCCGCCGCCTCACCTCGGGCCGAGCCCGCGAGCGGGAGCAGCTTCCACATGAATCCGGCCTCAGGGTCGGCGACGCGCGGCTGCGCAGCCTCAGCTGCCGGACCGGCGCGGCCCCGGCGCCTGCGAACTGGCGGGCTCCGAGACGTGCCCGCTCGCGGACTGCGCCTGCGCGGGAGGGCGCGGCACCCGGGCGCCACCTGGTGGCAGAGAGGGAATGGCGCAGCCTCTATGGAAGTGTTGAAGGCCTGGGGATCCCGTTTTAAGGTGTTCGCCAATGTTAGATTATCTGCATTTTCCTGGTTGTAAATGGAAATAGCTTTATAATTAGCTGCAAAGCAACATAAGGAAATTTCATAGACACTAACATACTAATCACTCAGAATCGGAAAAAGGCCTTCCACAATTTATGGTAATTAAACCCCAACATTGTTAGCTCCTCTGATTCAAACAGCCCCTCTCTTCAAACTGGAAGACAAGGTAAGTTACTCTCAAGACTACATCCTTGCATACACCTCCTCTCTGCCTCTTTGTTTAAACAACTCGGGTAATTCACACCAAGTCTCTAATTAGTAGAAAGTTTCCTTCCTCCTTCTCTCCTCTTCAAACTCTTCCTAACTTTACTCTGAGCATCTTCTACAGGCTTGGGTGGAGATGCAGATAAAGACATCTGCCTAGGACATCTGTCTGGTGTCTCATGAAGAAGACCTGGGCGGGATCAGGGGCGTGTCTGATGTCCAATTTCATTCCCCCTCCCCGCCCCCCCGCAACTCGGGCACCTGCCTGCGAGCTGCGGGTTCGGTACCGGGACCCCCCCCCCCCCCCCCCCGTAGAAACAGCAGCCAAGGCTTTAAAAGGGGGAGCAGCTTTTGTTCTTTGCCCTTTTCGTTGGGGAAAGTAAAAATAAACTTCCTCTCTGCATCTGTCTCTTTTTTCAGTTGCCAATTCTTTCATAGTCCACATTACCGGCCCCCAAACTTTAACACTACTTATATAATTCCATGGGTTTGTAATTTCTTAAATTGCAGCATCCCTTTGTATGGATCCTAGAGATGGTAACGATGGTTATGGTAAAGATAAGGATTTCGCCAGTTAACTTACTATTTTTACTCCAAGTTCAAGTCAACCTCTCCCAACCTCTCTGTTTCATAATGGTACACTTTATTTTTTTTTAAATATATTTTTATTGATTTTGTACAGAGAGGAAGGGAGAGAGATAGAGAGCTAGAAACATCGATGAGAGAGAGTCATCAATCAGCTGCCTCTTGCACACCCCCTACTGGGAATATGCCCGCATCCAAGGTACATGCCCTTGACCAGAATCGAACCCGGGACCTCTCAGTCCCCAAGCCGACGCTCTATCCATTGAGCCAAACTGGTTTCGGCCATAATGGTACACTTTAATCTAATCAGGAGCTAATTCTTTCCGCTTTCACTGGACCTAACTGTTGTAAGCTCTGCTTCCAATCCAGGAGTCCCTAACCTTTCACCACCCTCCACCCTGCACCGGACAAAGTAAACACCCGAGAGCAGCCGTCGCCAGCCCTTCAGACTCACAGATGACTAGAGCACACTTGTGATCACAGAAGTTCTGGTTTGCAAAAGTATTCTGTAATGTTACAAAATATAAAGTTATTTAAATCTGTGTTCTATTGGCACAAGGACAGACAATAGGCAAATGGGTTAATATAGAAAGACCCAAAAAACACTCACATCTATAAATTTAATTTTTCAAAAGTTACAATACAGAGCAATGGTGGAAAGGTCTTATGATGTTTTGTTTTCCAATAATGATCTGGGAGGTATTGGTTAACTCTACAAAAGATAGGAAGACAGGGCTTATATTTCACAAACATACAAAAAAAAATCAACTCCCTATGGATCTAAATATGACTAAATATTTTTAAAGAAAATACGAGCAAGATTTGGCAAATCTTTTAAAAATAGAACACAGCCGAAACCGGTTTGGCTTAGTGGTAGAGCGTCGGTCTGCGGACTGAAAGGTCCCAGGTTCGATTCTGGTCAAGGGCATGTACATTGGTTGCGGGCACATCCCCGGTAAGGGGTGCGCAAGAGGAGCTGGTCAATGTTTCTCTCTCATCAACGTTTCTAGCTCTCTATCTCTCTCCCTTCCTCTCTGTAAAAAATCAATAAAATACATTTAAAAATAAATAAATAAAAATAAAACACAAAAAAGTGTGCCCAAGGCTGCAGAATCCATAAATTCCACTGATTTTGTGGGCCAGAACAATTGGTAGGGGTTTTCTTGTTACTTTCTGGAGGATATACGTGCCCACCACAGCCTCCAATACACTGGGTTCTTGTGAATCCAACCGGATTGGGGCTCCGGCCAGGCCACCGAGCCTAAGGGTGATGTCGTCACAGCACCCTACGAGGACACCGCCAGGAGGCCGCCCGCACCGCACCGGGACAACTACAGAGAGTGAAGGAGCCCCTCCGCACCAACTCCAGCGAGCGGGGAGGCGCCACGCAGCACGGCCTGGCCCGCCAGTCCGCGGCTCCCGCCAGCACATTCCGTCCCCGCCGGACACCAGCCCCGCCCCCACCGCGCAATCCCCGCCCCAGCCTCTGCCCCGGCCCGCCTCCACCGCGCAAACCACGCCCCAACCTCAGTGACGCCCCCCTCCACCGCGCAAGCCCCGCCCCAGCCCCGCCCCGCTTCCACCGCGCAAGCCCCGCCCCGGTCTCAGACACACTCCCTGCCGGCTCAGAGTCTGAGACACGCCCCTAGCCCCGCCCCCGGTCTCAGACGCGCCCGGCCCTGCTGGGGTCTCAGGCACCCCCTGACCCCTGTCCCAGTCTCAGTGACGCCCCGACCTTGACCACGGGCCCAGCCACGCCCCGGCTCCGGCCACGCCCGCGTTCTCGCTCTGCTCCGGGCCGCGTTTCCGGACGCTCCTGCTCCGGCCATGGCGCTGCTGGGTCGGGTTTCCTTTGCTGGAGGTCGCGGTCCGCGGCGGGTAAGGCGCGCCGGCGGGCCGGCCCGGGGTCCCCGCGAGCCCCTGCTCTGCCTGCCTCGGGGCGGCGTCCGGGGGGCGGGCCGGGGCTCCTGGCGCGGAGTGGGGCCGCCGCGCTCTCAGGGTCGTCCGGTCCCCGGCGCGTGCCCGCTGGGACAGGGACCCTGCGCGGCGTGACCGCCCGGCGGCCCTTCCGCCGGGAAGCGGACGGAGCTGTCCGCGGCCAGACATCGTGCAGCCTGGCGGGGGGCTCAGTGACAGCCTCCGCCGGTGCGCTGAAGGGACCCAGGTTCGATTCCGGTCAAGGACACACGGTTGCGGGCTTGATCCCCAGTGGGGGACGTGCAAGAGGCAGCCAATCAATGATTCTCTCTCATCAGTGAAGTTTCTCTCTCTCTTTCCCTCTCCCTTCCTCTCTGAAATCTATCTATATATAACAAAAACAATTAAAAAACATCAATACTAACAAATTCACATAAAAAGAGAAACAAAGGTCAGCACCCCGCTGTCCGACGCGATGCTGGGCGGCGCGAACCGTGCACCCAGACCTCGGCCTGCAGAGAGCGCGGGAGGGGCTGCAGGGGCGGAGGGATGGGACAAGATCGGAGAATGTCCCACAGCCCCTTCCCCAACTAAACAAAACCCTAAGACTCAACCCGAGGCAGGTCTCCTCAGCCAGGGCACAGACAGCCTGCCAGCCGCTGGCAGAGCGGCGCCCGGCGGTCTTTCTGACAAAGGACCAGTCCCAGGAGGACACCACAAGACTGTCTGATGAGTCTCCCAAGTGGCAGGACTTTCTTTTGAAAAGATCTGTTCAGGGCGGTGCTTTGCTGATACCGGTTCCTCTTCCTGGGAAGATTAGGTTATAGGTTATATCAATGGTTTCTGATTCCTTCTCACAGACTTTCTCATTTCAATCCTACAACAGTCGCCTGGTGGGACAGCCTCCAACACCAGCAGCTGGGATTGTAGTAATAAGCTCACACACTCCTGACACCATTCGCCAGTAAGACTGAGAGGGAGAAAATTAACTCCTTTAAAAATTAGTTGTAATCTGACAATTCTGAAATTCCTGAGAACAGGGGTATGGAGACAAGAAACCCTGTTGTGATGGGTGGTGGGTCCCTCCGTTTGAATTCCTAGGGAAGACAAGTCTGCACTTCAGTAAAGCTGGAATTGCGTGTGTGTGCAAATACAGTTTGAAACTTTTTATTTGAATACTTTTGTTACCAAGAACCAAGAGAAATGTTCTTTGTTACACATTCTATTTAAGAAGTGCGGTGTTGTCCTAGCCCGTTTGGCTCAGTGGATAGAGTGTCAGCCTGTGGACTAAAGGATCCCGGTCAAGGGCATGTACAGGGTCACAGGCTCCTCCCCGGCCAGGCCCAGACCTTGGTCTGGGTGCCTGCAGGAGGCAAGCAATTGATGTGTTTCTCTCACATCAATATTTCTCTGTCTTTTCATTCTCCCTAATAATCAATGGGAAAATATCCTTGGGTGAGAGAATGCATGCATGGCACAGACAGTGCCCCCAGCTGCTGGAGAGTTGGTAGGAGTAGCTACTGGAGGCGTCCTGTGTGCATGGACTATGAGTTGCTTTGAGAAGGCAAAGATAGGCATTTCCCCAAAGTCTTCCTTTGAGAAATAAGCTGTTCAGTCTCTACAAGCTGACATTTTTATGTGACATTTAAGGCCAAGTTCACTTATGGAAATTTCAGTTGGGATAAATTTGATCTGAAAAATATTTATTTTGACCTAAATCAACAGGTAGTTGGAAACTTAAAAAATAGATATGGTAATATTCCATTGTTTATAAACATAGCTCACACTTAATTGTGGAATACACTTCAAATAGGTCACCCATCCTTATCATCATGCTGATTCTAGGCCAGTTTTCTTTTAAAAAAATATATATTTTATTGATTTTTTACAGAGAGGAAGGGAGAACAATAGAGTTACAAACATTGATGAGAGAGAAATATCGATCAGCTGCCTCCTGCACACTCCCCACTAGGGATGTACCCGCATCCAAGGTTCATGTCCTTGACCGGAATCGAACCTGGGACCCTCCAGTCCAAAAACCGACGCTCTATCCACTGAGCCAAACCGGCTAGGGCTAGGCCAGTTTTCTTGCTACAATGTTGTTTTCTTCTACCTTTCCTCTTGTGTACTTGCATATGTGATTTGATTTTTTTAAACTTGTTGTTTTGTTTGTTAATCCTCACCCAAGGATATAATTACATTGATTTTTAGAGAGAATGGAAAGGAGAGGGAGACACAGAGAGAAACATCAATGTGAGAGAAACACATCAGTTGGTTACCTCCTGTACTCACCCCGACAAGGGCCTGCAACCAAAGTAAGTGCTCTTGACCAAAATTGAACCTGGGATCCTTCAATCCGGGACCAATGTTCTATCCACTGAGCCAAACCAGATAGGGCAGATATTTTTTAATTTAGCAAAAAATAGTTTTATTGATTTTTAGGGGGGGGGGGGCATCAATGCGAGAGGGAAACAACAACCTGCTGCCTCCTGCACGCCCCCCAGTGGGGATGGAGCTGGCAACCCCATGTGCCCTGAGGGAAGTAGAACCAGCACTCTTTCTGTGCCTGGGATAATGCCCAGCCACTGAGCCACACCCACTGGCCAGGCCTTGTTGCTTTTAAATGAAAAATGTATTAACAGCGAGCATTTGTCAGTACAAAAGTGTAAGCTCTCACCAGGAGGCTCCTGCCAGGAGCCCCAGTGGGCTGTCCTCCTGGTAGCAGAGTCCAGTGCGGAGCCTTCCCTGGTTTAGGGAGGGCATCCTTGGACCCATTTTTATTTTATTTTATTTTCGACCCATTTTTAAAGAGGCACAAGTTTTAAAGTGTCAGCAGAGTTTCTGACGCTTTTGGATGTGAGGCTGCCTCCGCTGGGTGAGAAAGAACGGGAGTTGGTGAAAAGACAGGAGGAGCCCAGGCCAGAGGGGGTGTGCTTGGTGAGGGTCAAGGTGCTGAGGGGCTGGTGTCTGGTGGTTCTTCCAGCAACTTCTGTGCATATATAACATGTGTATGAAGAGACCTCATTTAAAAGCCATACCAATGAAGCATGTTCCTTAACAGAATTTCCTTGGGAGGTAATTGTTGAGTGGTTGGATAAACAGCATATAAATAACAATGTTTACATTAGCATGTGAGTTCTGGCTTTTATTAGAGCCCTGAGTGAGTCATTATGTTCCCTATGGAAATGCAGGTTTGTATTCTAGTATTTTCTGTTACAAGCGATGCTTTAAGGAATATGTTGGACTACTTTGAGCCCTTTGCATATCTGAGTCCCAAAAAATAAAAATAGCAACGAATTTTAGAATAAGGGTGTCAACTTTTGCAAAGAGCCCACTGGAACTGGGATAGAAATGGACACAAGTCTTTCACACTTTGATGGAATGTATTAGTATTTTGATCTTTTTGATGTGATTTTAAATATAACTATTTTAATTTTATTTTCATCTTACTGGATATCTGTGTAAGATTGGAGTCGCTCAGGGAATTAGGTGGATGCAGTGAGCAAGGGGGGGGTTATTAGAGGGAATGGGGGGTGGAGCCACACCCGGAAGGTTGGGCCTCCGCTGTTCTTGGGGTTGAATTTTATGCGCCGAAACCACCAGGGGCGGAGGCTGAGGGAAGGTAGCGTTCTATTCGGATTGGATGGAGTTCTTTGTCCTTCAGCGCGATTGGTGCTGGCGGAGGCTGTGGCGGCTGCCCCACCTCAGTGCGCTGCCTCCTGCTGAGTCCAATGGGGCCGGCAGGCTGTTCTAAATGAGGCTGGCCCGGTCTGTTCGGGACTGTCGGTCCGCTTGAGCAATGTCCTCTCCTGGCTGTCACTTTGATCACGGCTTCTTCCTGCCCCCAAATGAGTGAGGACATCTATAAGAAAATCCCCAGTTGTGGAGTTGCTGGTTTGAAGGGTATTTATCGTTATATTTTGATAAGTGTTGCCAATTGGCCTCTGGAGAAATTGTCCTAATTTATATCAACAGGTTATAAGAGTGACTTTAATAAACTGTTTCTTGTATCATGTATTATAAAATCTTGAACCTCAATAATCTGGCAAGAGAAAAAGGTATCTTCCAGTGTTTAAATGCGAGTGTTTAGCTGTATGTTTGTATTTGTTTTCTTTGTGTAGACTAGCTTTTAAATCTCTTTGTCTAGTGCTGTGGTCGGCAAACTGAGGCTCTTTGGCCCGTTGAGTGTGGCTCTTCCACAAAATACCACGGCCTGGGCAGGTCTATTTTGAAGAAGTGGCGTTAGAAGAAGTTTAAGTTTTAAAAAATTGGCTCTCAAAAGAAATTTCAATATTTGTCTCTGTTGACTAATGAGTTTGCAGACCACTGGCCTAGTGTTTCTATATGCAAATGACTTCTTAATACTCATATCAATAGACTGGATTTTTTCCTTAGATGTAAACTAATTTCAAGATGCCATTGTTCAAAATCAATGGCAACCACTACTTTAACAACTTGTTGAAACAAGCCGCACGGCTGCGAGCACCTCAGCGCCGTGAGCTCACTTGTCTGCTCCCCCAGCACCGTGGCTGGGAGCCTGGCCATCCGTGTCACAGGCACACAAACGAGCATGTGCTGGAGGGCCCCCCTTCCGTGCCAGAGGCCGTTCCGAGGGCCTAGAGCGGCCTGCCTTGCGGTGGCAGAGCCTAGCGCAGAAGCCTGCCCGGTGTGGAGAGGAGGTCATTCGACCCGTTTTTATTTTATTTTATTTTATTTTGTATTTTATTTTATTTTATTTTATTTTATTTATTTTATTTTATTTTATTATTTTATTTTATTATTTTATTTTATTTTATTTCATTTTATTTCATTTCATTTTATTTCATTTCATTTCATTTCATTTTATTTTATTTTATTTTATTTTATTTTCCGCCCATTTTTGAAGAGGCACCAGTTTTAAAGTGTCAGCAGGGTTTCTGACACTTTGCCTGGTTTTGCGGCTGCCTCTGCCTGGTGAGGGG